TATTATCATTATAATCAATTCTATTCAATTTTTTGTAGTTAGTTGAGTCAGAAGATGTTGCCATGAACTGCAAGAGTAGGTGTGAGGAGCAGCACATTCCTTTCTTTCGCTTTAGTCCTCATCTTGATACTGAAGTGGCTTCTGGCGAGACTGACAGCTATAAGCTCATAGATATGATACTACAAACTAAATATCAGGTCAGTCTGGCAATAGCAATTAAGTAGAGCATGATAGAAACTTGGCATATACCGTATACCGGTTTATTTTTGTGGCAAAATATTTTTGCAAATTTTGTGGCTTGTGATCAGTCGTGAAAATTTTTTGCCGTGAAATTCTGCTCTCCATTGCCATGTGGTGCAGTCTGCAAGCAATTCATGAAGATTAATTTCGCAAAATCTTAGAAATGCAAGGTTTGCAAAAAAAATTTCCACCGCAAAAATAAACCGGTATACAGTACTTGCCAATGACAATTTAATAAAATGAATTTTGCCATCTTTGTTAATTATTTTCACAATTTTAAACTCATTTTGCTTACATTCAAACTCATACATTGCAGGCTGTGAACGAATGGGATGAGAAGCTTGAAGATTTAGGATGTATATTCTTATGAATTGAGGAATACAGTCGTAAACAAATGCTGCAGAGTCTGAGAGATAGAAGGAGACTTCAAACAATGAGCAGCCAAAATGAAGTCATTCCAGAAGAGCAATAATGCTCCAATCTGATAATTATTGCATTCATCACTCATCTACTACTCTTCTCCAGCCCATGCACTATCCTGTTTCAATTGTTCACATACAGTGTCACATATATAGTTGCTAAGTTGCATGCATACTATACTCTTAATACACATATGCACCCAATACACACATACACTGTAGATATATAATTCATATGCGGTATCACACTGATGCATACATTAGTTAAGAGAAATGATTACATTGGTCATATTATTATAATAAATATTATCATTAATATTATTATTATCATCATTAATATTATTATTATTATTATTATTAAACAAAAGCAACAACAGCAGGGAAGTGAACAAAACAAAACAAAGAAAACACTGGACAAGCAAAGAGAGACAAAAAAAGAAATTAATAATAATAATAATAATAATATTATTATTATTATTATTATTATTATTATTATTATTATTATTATTTATTATTGTTATTATTATTCAATTATTATTACCTTAATACCCCCTCATTTTTATTATTACCATTTTTTATCTAAATCTACTATTATTATGGTTTTGTTATACCGTAGGGTACCTTTTTTTCGAGGGCTATAAATTTCGTGGATTTTTATTTCATGGATTTAATTTTCTCAAATCTTTTAAAAATCATGAAATCTGCAAAATTTATAGCCCTCAAAAAAAGGCACCCTACAGTAGTCAAATTCTATGTATAGCAACATTATCATTTTTGTATTATAATAAATTTGATAAAACGCAATGAACAGTTGAAAGAGAAGGAGGGTCTTATTTCCAATGAATAATATCACCTTTTCCTTTTATCTTAATGGTGTTCATTGGGTGGTCATTCCATGTAAGGAAAGGAGGGGGCGTTGGCTCTCTCGTACTGCAAATGAATAATGGAAACGTTCTTGTTGTCAGTGTTTGTTTGTGGTCCTTTCCCTTGGCGAGAAAGAAACAGTTTTAAACTATTCCAGTCGTTGCTGAGCCTAGGCTTCCTGTAGCCCCCTGTTGGTTTTATTTTCATCGTGGTAAGTTGTAATTTTGTAAAGGAGTGTAAACTAGACTAGTAAAGCCAAGCCTTTTACTGCGTGCTATCTTTTACAAGTGCCTAAACATATTTTCTATTACTTCTAACTGTTGACTGTATTAGTTCATATCATTTGCTGATATTGTATAGTTAGGTATTGACATAATCAGATGATAGTTTACTGCCATCTGGTCTGCATGTGTCAGTTGGTGTGTACAGTTGTGAGTGATAGCTGTTTCTGTGTGTTATAAATGTGACCCAATATGAGAAAACCAGGCTATCTGCAGGAATTATCAATTAAAGATATGGCTTTCCAAAGTTGTGACAGTAGTACCTAATCAAAACTGAGATTTTATCAAAAATGTATTGTACAAGAAATTCCTTTCATTTGATACCAAGTTTGCCCATAGTTAAGTTTAAAAAGGTAATTTACAGACCTTTCTTTCTGTTGTGCAGCATGTAAATAATGCAAGATAATTATAAGGATAAAAATGGCTGTAACTCAATTACATCCATTTAGACTTCTTTTTGCATAAATCATCGTAACTCAGCACTAGACGTGTCAAATGACATGGGAGAAAGACCAAAAGGAAGGAAAAACTGTGCTTAATTAAGAGGAGCATAAATCTCAGTTTTCAATTTTGGAGCATTTAGCCTGGTTTTCTCATATCGGGTTACAAATAGATGTTTGTTTGTATTGAAAGTCCATTTCTGTTTCTCTCCCTATCTCTCTATTTTTACTCCTCTCTCTCTCTCAGTAGTATTTTAACAATGGCTACCTCAGACTCAGAGAAGGTACAAGAGTCTTCCTCCAATCAGTACAGGAGGAGTGCCTCACCTGAGGTTGTATGCTTTAGTGAGCCTGAAATAATGTCAGAGAATGATAAGACGACAATAAAAGGACCCCAACGTGAGGGTGATATAGATTTTAGGCAGTATCACCTTGATGTGGACACTGATGAAGATGATGAGAGTAGTAATGAAGGAGAAGGAGAGGAGGTTGATAAAGAATTAGAGGGACAGGAACAAGAATTTGAAGAAGAGTTAATGAATGCTTTTATTGTAGATCCCTCCTCTGTGCCTCAAAATCTTCCTAATGTGCATACAAATACAAGAAAAATATCTGGTGTTTCACTCACTGGCTATCAAAGAGATGAAGAAGTGTTGTCGGAGGATGACCACTGGCTGAGTAGGCCTAGAGACAATGCAGGAATGACCCGATTACACAGTCAAGAACTTTTAAATGAATTGTTTTTTAAGTTCAAGTATGTTCACTCCTCTTTGAAGCATCATGGGAGGAGGAGGACTTTCAGGAAACGTGCTGCAACTGAGAGTACAGGAAAGGTTAATGCACTGGATATGATTCAGAAGAGAAATTCTGATGCCATTATAACTATTGATCACTCACTGAGTGAAGAGGAAGAAGATGACAAAGAGTTGGAAAAGAAGAAAGAAGGAGAGAGGGAAAGGGCTAGGAGAGCAACAATGCAAGCAGATTCAAGTTTGTATGATACAAAAAAGAGAAAGAAAGAGAGAAAAATTTTGGAAAGCATTGGAGCTGGGGTGAGTATGTCACCACGCCAAAGAAAAACAAGAGCTCAGAGTGTTGCTGTATCTGGCCCATCTGGTAATAATGTAAGTTAAGAAAGAATTTACATGCATGTACCTTAAAAGTAGTTTCGCTGCCCAGCGTCGCCCCAATGACCACAGGTGGGAGGGAGGGTCTGAGTAGCGAGACTACATTCAAAGTGAAATGCAATGGCCCTATATTGTAATTTTGTGCTATATTCATTGTTAAGGAATTATAAATGAGTCTTCAAGACATACATTAATTATGCTTTAATTTTTTTATTTTCTCATCTTTTGTGTAGAGATATAAACCCAGCTCTTCTGATTTATCTGTAAGTCAATGCATGCACATTAATAGCCATTAGTAATCAATTTATTATGTGTAGCTGTTGGACAGGAAGAAGCCACCAGGATCACCTAAAGCACCTCATTTGCCAGTAAGCTATGAAATAGTGTATCATGCAACTTTATATATCATACAACTTTCTTTCTTATTCACTTATTAGAAACTGAAGCTTCATAATCCGAAATCAGCAGAGGTAAGTCGATAGTGATAAGAATGCATTTATTAGCAGCTTTTCTGAATGGTTTTGCTTTAATGTAGCATGGTATGCTCTTATTACATTATTACTTTTATGATTAGAAACTACGAAAGTATCTTGAAATGAAGAAATATGATCAAGTCCAGAGAGATGAGAGAATGGATACTCCTCTCCATGCCATTGTACGAAGTGACAGAAAAGACAAATTAGAATGTCTGTTGATACTAATGGTGTTCAGTGACTATGGGACTGACAATATTGATATGCCTGCTGCTTTTGGTAATACAGCATTGCACATTGCAGTCCAGGTAATGGCAATAGAGATAGCTAAATTTAAAGTGATTTTAATCTCTACATTTTTATTTAGAAAGGGGATTTATTAATGGTCCAACTACTCTTAGTATTTGGTGCAAATATTGATGCAATGAATGATCAAAAGAGAACCCCACTTGACATGCTCATCAACAAAGGCAATGACAAAAAATTTTTAAAATCATTGAAGAACTGAAGAGAC